GCAAAACAGTTTTAGTTTCTATGATACAGTTGAAAGTGCTATGAGAGATGGCAAATACAAGCTTCCTCGCATGTCCTGTGACACATGAAAGAATGAGATACTGAGAAGGATACAAAGAAATATTTGAGAAACAACATGCCTAAACACAAGCAGGCCACATTCCTTTTATAATAAACAAGGACCATACACAAGATTCTTAGCTTGTGAACGTACAGAACAATGTTATGAATGGAGTTACAGCTGCAAGCTAAACCTGTCCATCTGGTCAAATTAGACCGCTCTAAATAAGCACAATGCATAAAAATTGTAGATTATTTTGCCTTTTCTAAAGTAGGACAATGTACTGTATGTAGCTGGTCTCCAGTTACTTGCTTTGAAAAATCCGTATGTGGTAAATACCCTAGTCCAACAACGTGAGATAAACTCCGCTTTAGATAACTTCAGCAATGAGTCTCTCATATACAAAAAATAACGTAGTTTTGTTTTAGAAGCTATTTGAAACCAAGAATATTAGCGAACTGAGAATGTTGCATATTTTAACAAAGGGTTTAAAACAAAATAATTTGCATGGTTTTTACCCATAAAATGCAAATCATTAAGATAGTCACAGGTAATCAAATGCAGCTCAGAACCATACGTTTTGTAATTGTTCTTAGTTGGACCGACAGTAGAATGTGAAAGAGTGTGAGTGATTTAAAAACATGAAGGGAATGTCCCAGTTCCCACCTATAATTTTGTAGCACAGCAAGCTAAGTAGGAAACAGTAAAGGAAAGAATATAACAATAGGCAGAAGTGCTCCTTCCAAGGCTAGGAATGTGCTTCTAATTACATTTCCCATATTCTTTTCTTCTGTCTTTGTTTTTTTTTTTTTTTTTTTTTTTTATAGCTACACACAAGCAATGTAGGATCAGACATTTATGAGTAAATGTTAAGAAGGATATCCCTCCATTTGTGGGCACAGTTTGTGCAGGCACAGAATGAAATTGTGTATGCAGTCTGAATAAATGCCCTTCGAACTTCCTCATTTTCACCTGCAATTGGGTAGCTAAGAGGTGCAAGTACTCAGATCTGTGCCCAGAGTTCAACTTATGGTGCAAAAATACAGATGAGAGTTTTTTGGGATGAAATTGTGCTCCCACAAAAGGAAGCCCTCAACCTTCTGAAAATAACACTTGATAGTCTGTGGGCCAAATTTTCAAAGTAGGTCACATGGGGCACCTGGAAAAATGCACATGCACCTGTTGTGCACCTCAAAACAAAATATGTCCACAAGCAAACAGAAATTTTGTGTGAGCAAAACTGGCCAACTACCTATTTATACATGCAATTATCTGTGTGAACGCCAATGAAAGCTTATACAGGCCAAACCATTTACTTCTCCTTGGAAAATCTGGTCCTACAAGTCATTTTTTAATGTTGATTTGGCAAATTATTTAGGGCCCAATCCAATACCCACTGAAGTCAATGGACAGACTCCAACTGGTTTCAACTGGTGTTGGATCAGGCCCTTAGGCTCATGTCAAGATTAAAGCTCTATTAGTACTGGCTAAAGCCAAGAATGGTGTGGCTAGTGTACACTCTTTGTTCTTAAAGGAATACATGTGAAGTTTATTGACAGCATCCAGTTACAAAACCGATTTTCTTTCTGGATAGAAGTAGTTCATTCAATGTTTATAATTTTTTAACTATTTAAAAGCTGTTTATCTTAGATCTTACATTCTTCTTCAGATTCCATTCTTGGTTTGTACATGTCCACGTGCATAGTTATTGGAAACTTTTGCCTTATTGGTATCTGCGTCAGTATATTAGGCGTGCCGACCATACGCCCTCTCAGTTCCTTCTTACCGCCCGTGGTGGTTGGTCGGAGCGCCTCTCTTCCTTGCCTAGCAAGTGGTCAGCGGTTCTTTCCCTTTTGATTTTGTGCATTACAGGCTCGGCCCACGTCCAGCAGGTCCTACTGGGTAGAAGAAAGCCCTCCACTAGAGCAACCTATCCGGTCAAATGGAAACAATTCATGTGCTGGGCCTTGGCCCAAGGGGTTAGGCCTGAGCAGGCCTTGCTGCAGTCAATCCTGGACTACCTTATGCATTATCAAGCTCCAGAGTTTCTCCCTTTCATCAATTAAGGTCCACTTGGCTGCCATATCAACCTTTCACCGTCCATTCCAGGGCAGGTTGGTCTTCACTGATAACATGTCCGGTTCTTGAAAGGTCTGGAGCAAGCCCCAGGTCCGGGACCCAGTCCCTCCGTGGGACATTTGGTGCTCGCATGGCTCATGAGAGCTCCCTTCGAGCCCTTGGTGTCCTGTTCCCTTCTTCTGCTCTCCTGGAAGGTGTCATTCCTGATGGCGATATCTTCTGCCCGAAGGGTCTCTGAGATTAGGGCACTTACCTTGGAGCCGCCCTATACAGTGTTTTTTCAAGGATAAGGTCCAACTGCGGCTGCATCCGGCTTTCCTACCTAAGGTGGTTTCGCACTTTCACACAAGCCAGGACATATTTTTCCCAGTCTTCTTTCCAAAGCCTCATAAGTCTGAGGAGAAACGTAGGTTGCACTTCCTGGATGTCAGGAGAGCGCTAGCCTTCTACATTGAGAGGACCAAGCAATTTCGCAAGTCGATGCAGTTGTTTGTCGCAGTGGCAGATAGGATGAAAGGTCATCCAGTGTCCACCCAGAGAATTTAATCTTGGATCACCGCCTGCATCTGATTTTGCTATGATCAGGCGAAGGTGCCTCCAACGGCGATTGTAACTGCCCACTCGACTAGGGCACAAGCTTCGGCGGCAGCCTTTCTGGCCTATGTTCCAATTCCAGATATCTCCAGGGCCATCACCTGGTCGTCCATTCACACGTTCACACCTTACTATGTGCTTACCCAGCAAGCCTGAGATGACGCTGGCTTCAGTAGAGCAGTATTACAAGCCACATGTCTGTGCACTCTGAGCCCACCTCCAGGGATACTGCTTGTGAGTCACGTAGAATGGAATCGACATGAGCAAGCACTCAAAGAAGGAACAAACGGTGACCTTTTTGCAACTGTTATTCTTTGAGATGTGTTGCTCGTGTCCATTCCATTACTCGCCCTCTTACCCCTCTGTTGGAGTTGCCGGCAAGAAAGAACTGAGAGGGGATAGGGCCAGTGGCGCCTGATATACCAACGCCTGAGCGTGGCACTCCAGAGGGTGCCACAGCCAACCCGACGGATACTGCTCAGGCAAAAGTCTCCCAACAACTGTGCACGTGGGCACGCACACACCTAGAATGGAATGGACATGAGCAACACATCTCAAAGAACAACAGTTATGTAATTTTTTTTGTAATTAGTTTACCCAGATAAGAACTCAGTGGAGCTTGGTCACTGAAGCAAAACCAATGAAATACCTGTAGACAGCAAAAAGACCAATCCAAAAGCAGAGCTATCTCCCTAGCTATCAGAAATACTGGATGCCCCATTAGACCCAGTTAATGCAGGGGAATCCAGAAATTCAGTTTATAGGTAGGAAAATCTATTCATCTCAAGACACTTTACAGTTAGAGAGAAAATAATGAGATGATACTTCACAGAACTGGATACAGTATGACTCTCATACAGACAGCAGAGCAAAACACTGCAGAGAAATTGTATGGAGTAGAAAGAGCAAAAGGTGTAATTTAAGAGCAGCAAGGAGGTATTGTAAATAGATATTCTTGCATAATATTAGGCTAAGGGTAGAGATAAAGGTGGCAAGAACAAGCAAAGGGGAGAAGGGGTAGGGAGGTTAGTTACATGGATGACTCTCAAGGGAGAGTGTTCCAGGTAGATGGGACTGCAAAAAGCAAGTAAACTATCCCCAATCAGAAAGAAATTACAGAGAAGATTTTAAGATGAGAGAACAGTGGTCAGAGGAGTAGGTGGATAAAAGATCAAGAGATTAAGTCCAGGGGACATCTGAAAAGTAGGACAATTTTGGCATGAGTTTGGAAAGTGCGAGAGTTATCTAAAGACATAAAGAGCTTCATCTCAGGCACTCTGAGAATGTTACAGTGAGTGGCTAGTAAGGAAGCTAGTTATTCCCATGTGGGAATATTTCAATTTAGGAAAGGTGCTTAACTGAGGGAGCAATTTGATTGGCTAAGTTTCCAATTCATGGCATTATGGGGACATGTGCACATCCTGGAACTACTTAGCTCTACTCATTTTTGGCTCCCCCCCCCCCTTAATGGGTACAACTTTCAAAAGCTGGTACAACATGTGAAAATATGCATTAGTAAATTGCCTCACTTGCATGCACAAATAAAATGTGCACTCAAATACCCACTTGCGTGTTAACTCCTCTTCTTAGAAGACTATATTTGTTTAGATTCAGTAGTCAATGTTTTTTCATGTAAAAAAAATGTTCAGTAATGTACCATTTTTCCTAAACCTCACCTTTCTACCCCATCTAAGCTCAATTTATTATTATTATTATTGAATATAAAGAATAGACACTTATTTACCATTTGCAGATATTAATAGAGCGTTATACATGTATCTAAATTACCCCCCAATTATATGAAATAGAATAACATAAGTTATTTTATATATACTTTCACTAGAAAAGTAATGTAAGAGAAAGCTGTCTGGCATATACTTATATTTAAGTAATCATGTTTAAAAAAAAAAAGGCAAAGTTAGATGTCGGGGATAATTTTCACATTTAAAATTGTTGTACCCTTTTTTGACTTAATGCAACCTGATTTTTCTCTGGAAAGGTATTTTTCCAGTACAGTATCATATATCCATGTGTACCCCTTTTAAACATATAAGTAAATACATAATTCAAGATGCTTATACAAACTTTATACAGTATGCTGCTATTTTTATGGTATTGTGAATCTGCACAGCAGGAGCGACTAATATTTTGGGAGCATTTACTTTTAATAAAAATAATAAGTTTACATATAGAATTGAGATATTTGGTTGATTTTTAGGTTTGGGGTTCTTCTGGCAGACATAAAGCAAATTTTCAGTGGTGTTTACCATTCTCATTGCTATAGTTCATCAGCATGCCACAAAAGACAGTCAAGAGCTTCTCATTGGCTGGATCTGTTTTACTGCACAGTGACCTTAAATGGTCTACTACAATCTGTGCACCACCTGCATGGTCAACTGCACTCCTGCCCTCATCTGTAAAACAAAGAGTTAAATTTAAAAAAATAAAATAAAAAACCACCTTAGCGTTCCAAACATAACCATAAGCATTCAAAAGGAGACGTTCTTAAACAGAGTTAAGTGTAATCCCTTCAGTGATGTCAAATTTATTTACAAGGCCACTTGTGGGCCAGATTTTAGACCCTCCTACAACAAAAGGATTGATCAACTGGTACTAATACTTTTATAAATAACAAGTTCAGTGTTTGAGTGAGAGCCACAGGAGGTGCTAATTAATAATACTTTAAACATAAGTAGCATTTTTCTATTGAAGGATCTCAAAGCACTTTACAAACACTAATCTGTACACCATTGGGAGGAAAATTGTTCTAGCCACTATTAAGATTGATACATTGAGGCACAGAGGATAAAGTAACTTCCTCAGTTCTGCACAGCAAATGAAGAACAGATCCAGACACAGAATAGGGGAAATAGTGAAGATCTTGTTCCCCAGTCACTAACTCTGTTCACTAAATCCCACTGCCTCCCTCCATATTCTTTTTGCTTTTCCACCCTAAGTTTAAAATCACTATGAAGATTTACTGTGAATTTCTAATAGGCCGAAATGCTCTGAGCCTTCATGTGTAACATGTCAAATTCTTCATATCAATCTCTCTCTAACTAATCAGCTTTTAAAGCATTAGTGTAGGAAGCAAAGAAAAAGGGTGCTTTATTAGTTTTCAACCGTACCACGTTTTTTCTCAGGTTAGTAGCCAGTGGCATACAGCATTTGATATTCTAAATAGTTGGTTCCCAAATGCGGACATGTCAAGATGGGTTATAATTAGAGCCCGTTGGAAAATTTTAATGAAAACAAAATCCTGATGAAAAAGCATTTACCCCCCCCCCCCAATATATATAAAAAAATTAATGGTTCAAGTAGCATTTTCCCCTTCAATTGTAATTGATTTCTTGGGCTCTTTCTCCCCACTCTCCCACCCCACTGAGTTCTTGAGAGCCAGGCTGCAAGGTCCTCTCCAGTATCTCCTCCTCCATACACGCAATATGAAATTAGATTGCTCAGATTCTGAGAATGGATTTCCACTGCTGTAAATGCTCCAATCTACTGTAAAAGAGGTTTTAAATCTTTTAGTTCTTGTTGACACTAATTCTATAAAAGCTCCCTTTGGTCTTTCAACAGTGTGCTCAGTAAAGCACAGGGGAGAATGAACTCTTGGTGGTGGGCAACAGAACAGCTGGTCATCTCAGGTTTTCATTTTAGCACCACATATATGGCATTTTGCTGAATAACAAAACAGTCACACTACATATAGGCACAGTAACAAAAGAAGAAGAAGAGGAACATCATTATGAACTACTTCTGTGCTGATTAATGCCTTTGGAAGAATGACTCCTACCAACCATGGAAATTCTCTTGGAAAACTGAAAAATGTAATCTGTTTGGGAGTCAAACTAAGTGTGCTTGCAGGGATAAATCCTATGACAAGCAAGGAACACAGCAAAAAGGATATGTAAAACAAACAATCCCAAAACCCTATTGAAGTGATGAATGGAGGACTGAAACTAATGAAATCCCTGTCCAATGTAGTAACACAACACAGGCTTTATTAGGTACCAGATTGGTGGCCACATTTACTGAGCCAGCAGGGAAAACACTTGGCTGTAAGATTCAAACATTTTTTCTTTATATACTCAATTCCATAGGCAGTATCTTTCCAACAACAAAACAGTTAAAAGTGCTCATGTAAAATAGGAAAGTCAAAGTGAGTGTATAAAATGTTGGGTTTCATCTGTGTTCAGATTAAAAGGTCAGAATTCTGATCTCAAACGGGTGTAATACAATTGAAGTGAGTAGGGTTAACCAGTATAAAACTCCCTTTAGATAAGAATTAGGCCAAAAATCTGGCGCCATACCTTTTGTATCAGTTTACATACAAAGCTTGAAGACAGAGACAGGTAAAAAGTAGGATGACTTCATTTATTTTTGGTCCCTGCTAAAATAATTATGGGCCACATCCTCTACTGGTGTAAATTGGCATAGCTCCACTGAACCAATGGAGCTCTGCCAAGTACACTAGATGAGGATCTGACCCCATAAATCCTTCTATTCCATTCTTCCTCTGATTTGTAACAGAAATTAAGAACTGAACACTACCAAAATTTTAAATATTTAGCACTCTTCCACTTGACAACATTAACTAATCCTGTCAACATAGGGTTACCAGATAGCAACTGTGAAAAAACGGGACGGGGTGGAAGGTAATAGGCGCCTATATAAGAAAAAGTCCCCAAAAATGACTGTCCCTTTAAAAATGGGACATCTGGTCACCCTATCCCAACACCCTAATTAGGTAGTAAATAATTACCCCTATTTTACAGATAGGATCTTGGTTTTACTGCCCCCTGCACACAGCTCAAGTAAATGAGGGGAACTATGCAGGGAGTTTAGGGGTGGAGGTAAATCACAAGGAGAGAATCCTCCTCATTCAGGTGGCAGGATGCAGTGCATCTCTGCAGCCCTTACATGCAGGTTTTGGCTGGTAGACCTGTGTAGTCACAGATCCACTGCCCACATCCCTCCTCCACACCAGTGACCAGCTGTGGAGGCCGCTTCAGAAGTAACCAGGTGCAGCTGCTTCTCCACTCTGCACTGAGCAGTAGAACCATGGTGGAACTGTAATTAGGACCTCCTGCTTCTTGCTCCCTTTCCATGCTCAGGAGGACTGGCCCAAAGTGATTTGCCCAAGGCCACAAAAGAAGCCTGTATCAAAACTGGGAGTGAACTTAGAAGTTCCTCTCTACCAGACCCTACAACACATTACATCTCAAAAAGCAAAGAAAAATGGCACACTCCAAATTCACCATGCTGTTTTGGTGCTCATTATAAATTCCCTTCCCTCCTCCTCGCTCAGTCTCTAAGCCACAGACTTTGCATGTACGCATGCTCACTAAATGCCAAGTCATTTACCGTCAACACAATATTGCCTCACACTATAATGTCTTGTTCTCGATCTGACTGCTACTTCGTAGTTTAGCACTTCTGAGAACTCCCACACTTGAGGAGCTTCCAGTCCTCCAGTAGCTTAGTGCTGAATTTTTTTCCTATGTGACTTTTTAAAATAAACATTTGCTATTCCTGTGAGCTTAATGAGCGAACAGCATAATGAGTGAATTCACATCTCTGCTGAATATGCATCACTATAGCTCACAGAGGGTTTTATACTTTTTTTTTTTTTTAAGTAAGTTTAGTGCTATTTAAGGATGCCAGACTGACAGCTTGGGAGACTGGAGTATTATTTCTCCCAAGAATGTGAATAGCACAGACCTAATACAGTACAAGTAATTGCTTCATCAATGTTCTTCAATCCTAACCCTAAGGGACCATCTGTAAGGGTGAGAGAATAGTTCAGTCTTCCTGCTAAATGCCTGGCCTCACTGCTGAGTTGATCATAGGGCTTTAGTGTGGATTAGGTTTTCATGTGGAACTCAGACATACTATGCATACTTACCTATTTCCCACAAAAGGAGAACCCCTCAAAATCCCCCTTCGGTTCACTCTTGCCTGAGCTCATGGCAGTTCATAATAATGATTCTCCAACCAGGGAGCCCCAGGGACAAAGCGAAATTGTCATAGATCATGGGATTAGCACAACTCTCAAGTTGTATGAGAAGAAAGGGCCAAACAATCCAATTGTATGGAACATGAAACTTGGCGATTGTTTCTGCCAAATTGTTCCACTGAGACGGGGAAGGGGAGGGCGTGGGAATTTCTGTGAAGCTGTCAGAGGGTTTAGGCCATGTACAGCCATTTTGTGCCTCTGAACAGCTTTCAGGGTACCCCCACCTTTAAAGGACCATGCTTTGCACCCCCTACACTCCTTTAGATGGGGATTCTGTTTAGCGGTGGGGGACTCGTATAAATTAAATTTAAGAGTCAGTATTAACTGATGGCAAAAATCCCTGCCAGGCAGAGGAGGTTGGTGCAGCTGTCCTTCGCCTCTGACCCTGGGCCTCTAAAACCCAATTCTTGCAGAGAGAATGGTACAGAGCTTGCATTTCCCACCTTCTCTCTCTGCCCAGATCAGCTGCTTTCTGCTCCTCTTCATTCATGAAGGTAGAAGGGAGTATTTGACTCAAAGAAATGAAGGGTTTAACCAAGAGAAAAAAACAAGGAGTGACAGTACACTCTCACTGATCTTAAATATGCATAACTAACTATAAGTTATGTATAAAGATTAGAAAAATCTGTCATTCATTTTCTAGGGGGTTTAATATATTTTCAGATATTTGATACATAGCTGGAAATGAAAATCCAGGTACAATTCACCTTTCTAAAATGAATCCCTAAACTCATAATCCCAGAAGGTCAGTGACATGAAGACTTAGAATTAAACTGCTCCACTTTGCGTTCCTCGGAGTCTGACTATATCATTCTCTCCTTAGCTTCCTGCCCCCACTTGCTAAACCTTGCAATCCAACCAGCCATGCCTATGGTTCGTAAGACATGACAGAACAAGATGAAGTTAAAGCTCTGGTTCAAACTATGAAGGCAGGATACTAGTGTTATTCCGTTTGAAATATTTGTGTCAATATTTTGCTTATTGACATCAGGGTGAGTTTATTGCCTGTGAAAACAAGGTTACAACAGAACAGAGATCCAGCCAATACAGGCAGGTGTTGGGAAAGAGTTCCTAAAGCAGTTGATCCAATGCAGCTTAATCCCAGCTTGTTTTAGGCCGTGGCTACACTCGAAACTCCAAAGCGCTGCCGCGGGAGCGCTTTGAAGTGCGAGTGTGGTCGTGTGCTGTGGTCGAGAGCTCTCCCAGCGCTTCAGGTACTCCACCTCCACGAGGGGGTTAGCTGGGGCACTGTTTACACTGGCGCTTTACAGCGCTGTAACTTGCTGCGCTCAGGAGTGTGTTTTCTCACACCCCTGAGCGAGGAAGTTGCAGCACTGTAAAGCGCCAGTGTAGCCATACCCAAAGTTTTGCTAACACCAGCCCTGGGCCTTTCTT